CTGGCCCAGCCCGGCGCGCTGTGTGACTTGGAGCCTCCTCCGCAAGTCTGCTGAGAGGGAAAGTGACATCTATACACTTGCCTCCAACCCACTGCCCATTTGTTGGAAATGGTTTTTTTAAAAAAAGAGTTTTTTCAAGAACAGTACTTAATAACATGTGAAAATTTATACAAAATTCAGATTTTAGTGTCCAGGAATAAAGTTTTATTGAAACACAGCCACATACTTTCATTATTCTAATTGTCTGTGGCTGCTTTTATGTTACAATGGCAGATTTCAGGAGTTGCAATGAAGGCTGTTTGGTAGGAAAAAACTAAATAATATACTACCTTGGCCCTCCTGGGAGTCCCTGGATTGTGCAGAAGAAGGGCGTGGCAGTGTGCTTCTGAAAAGTCAGTTATTGAAAATCCTGTGGAGCACAGTTCTGCTTAGACACACGTGGGCTATCGTGAGTCAGGGTTGGTTTAATGGTCACTTCTGTTTTTTGGGGGGTAAAGTTGTTGTTGTTAAGTGCCATCGAGTCGTTTTCGACCCATAGCGACCCTGCACAGGGTTTCCGAGGCTGTAAATCTTTACGGGAGCAGAACGCCTCATCTTTCTCCTGCGGAGCGCCTGGTAGTTTCAAACGCTGACCTTAAGGTTCACAGTCCAATTTGTAACCACTACGCTACCAGAGCTCCTTTGGGGGTAAAGGATATATGCCAATTCCTTGTACTGTTCTTACAACTTTTCTTTAGTTGAAAAGGATATTGCTATGCACACCTGTTCATCACAGCACCATTCACAAAAACAGCCTAAATGCCCTTCAGCAGAAGAATGGAGAAACAAACTTTGATACTTACACACAATGGAATAGTATGCAACACTGAAGAACAACAATGACTCTGAGAAACACCTCATAACATGGATGAACCTGGAGGATGTTGTGCTGACTGAAATTAGTCACCGAAGGACAAATGGTGTATGAGACCGCCGTTGTGAAAAGTCAAGAAGGGATTTTCATGCTAAAAAGAGAAAACATTCTTTGATGGTTTCCAGGGATAGGAGGGAAGGGAGGATAATTCACTGGCTAGAGGGTTGTTGATGTTAAGTGTCTTCAAGTTGGTTCTGACTCTTAGAGACCCTGTAAGGGGTTTCCAAGGCTTTTTAAAGCCTCCCCTTTCTCCTGTAGAGCGGCTGGCAGGCTTGAACCGCAAATGTTGTGGTTCACAGTCCAGTGCTTATCATATGGAGCCACTGTGCAAGAGGGTAGACACACATGAACTTGAGTGATGGCGAAGTCAATATGCAACAAGAGGGAGGTAGGCAGAAGAATGATGAAGGCAAGAGAAGACACGGAGGGATACAAGAAGTATAGAAAATAAAAGTAAATATGGTTAAATCCACAATCCTGCAATAATAGTGATCTATGGGGGGGGTGCTGTGGGCTAATGTGCTGGACTGCAAAGTCGGTTGGAACCACAAGGTCGGCTGTTCAAGCTCACCAGCTGCTCCTTGGAAACCCTATAGGTTTGCTATATGGGTCAGAACCGACTCGACGGCACTTAACAACAACAACATGGGTAGATTCAGGGACAGACATACAGACTGAACGAGTGTGGGAGGAGTGGGAGAATACCCACAAATATAAATGGGTTTGACAGAGAGTATCTGTACATGGGTAGTTAGTTACCTTTGCAGCAAACAGATCCGTGAATGTGGTAGAGCAAAGTTAGGAAACTTCTTAGACATTACCCAAGACCTTGAGTGAATAAGTTGCTGGGCCTAGGGGCTGAGAACTATGTTGTGGTATGCCACAGTCCACAAAGACTTTCTACATCCCACTTAGACTCGATGGTAGTTTACAACACCACTTAGGTAAGTTGTTAAGTGCCATCGAGTAGATTCCAATCCATAGTGACCCTGTATAGGGTTTCCAAGGAGCAGCTGGTGAGCTTGAACCACCAACCTTGCAGTTCAAACTGACTTTGCAGTCTGACGCATTAGCCCAGTGCCACCCCAGGACTCCTAGGTAAGTAGTGACTGGGATCTTAAAAGCTCATGAGCAGCCATCTAAGGAACAATGATTGGTCTCTCCCTGCCCCGAAGAATGATGAAAACTGAAGACCCCTGGAAACAATTCATGCAATGATGATGAAGGCAGGAGAAGGCACTGGAAGGAGCAAAGAGTTAAAGGGAACAGAGGTAATGGCTTCTGAGACCAGAATAAGTAGATGTGGCCGGTACTGATCGGAATCACATTAGAAGGGCCCGGAGAGAGTGGAAGAAAATGTGGAACAAAACCCCTAATCCTAAAAGACACCAGGCTTACTGGTTACACAGAGACCGGTGGGACCCTGAGACCACGGCCCTTGGTCACCCTCCAGGTCTGGAACTGAATTCAATTTTCAGCCCACAATAGCATCACAGGGAGGGAATGGGTTAAGTGATGTTACATGGAGGACATTTGCAGTCATCGAAATGAAGCGTGTGGTTTGTTGAAGGTAAAACAAGATCTGCTCTGTAAACCTTCACTCAATTCGCAATAAAAAGTTTTTTAAAAGATATCCAAATAGAAAGTTACAGAGAAGTCATTATATTAGAACATTTGAGGTTAACAAGTCTAACGGAGGCTGCGGGGCTGGTGAAGGCCTCTTGTCTCAGACTCCCTTCCCCACCCCACCCCCCGAGCTCCAGAAATGAGTCTCAGAACATAATATTACGTTACCATCAAAGAGGGGTGCTGAAGGGTACTGAAGCAAACCCACAGAATCTCCAAACTGGCCTGTATTAAATGACTCTTAGTGGTGTGCGCTGTAGGATAAGCACTGGACTGCTAACTGCAATGTTGGTGGTTCAAATCTACCATCTACTCCTGGGACACCCTACACAGGCTTCATGTGAGTCAGCACGGACTCGAGGGCACTTAACCACAAAGGTTGCCATGTTGGTTGGAACTGGGACGATGCTGGGCTTTGAGGAGCGTGGGAGCAGTTGGATCCCTTACATTAACGTTTTCCACATCCCTGGTGTTTCCACTTGGTTGTCTTGGTGGTGGCTTTGTCCCCCATTCCTGAACAGCCTCCCCAGACCCCACTCTGCAAGGGGCCCTCCTGGAAATCCAGATCTGAGATCCTCTTGTTGGCTCTCAAACTCATCTGGAGTTTCCTGTGGGAATTGATAGGAAGCTTATAAAGCTCTGCTCTCTGACTTCGTTGAGCAAGTCAGGGCCTGACTGGGTCTCGTGGGGTGCCTGCTACCCAAGCTCTCATGGCTTTGTTCTGAGCACCCCATTTCACTTCCGCTTCACTGGCTTGCCCAGACATCTGCCAGAGGCTTATGGTTTATTCACCCATAAAATAAGCCGGCATGCCCAGAAGAGGCAGACAGATCTATGGACAGAAGCAAAACTGGGGAAATAGGTCCCAGCACTTCAGGGTGCTTAGGATGTGAGAAAGGTCGTGTTCCAATTCACTTGTCCCAAGTCGACTGTTGAATACACGATATACGGATCACTGGTCAGACTTTGGGAAAAATAAATCATTACCCTTTCCACAACTACCCCCATTGAGAGACTGCCCCATAGACCCCAGAGGGTCTCAGTTTTCATCATTCTTCTGGGCAGGGAGAGACCAATCATTGTTCCTTAGATGGCTGCTCAAGAGCTTTTAAGATCCCAGTCCTGGGGTGGCGCTGTGGGCTAATGCGTCAGACTGCAAAGTCAGTTTGAACTGCAAGGTTGGTGGTTCAAGCTCACCAGCTGCTCCTTGGAAACCCTATACAGGGTCACTATGGATTGGAATCTACTCGATGGCACTTAACAACTTACCTAAGTGGTGTTGTAAAGTACCATCGAGTCTAAGTGGGATGTAGAAGTTCGAATCCACCAGCAGCTCCTTGGGAGAACTATATGGCAGTCTGCTTCTGTAAAGACCTGCAGCCTTGGCAAATCTCCAGAGCCTTCTGCTCCGTCCTACAGAGACACTGTGAGTGGAAATCGACTGCACAAGTGGAAATTGACTCCACGAGTGGAAATCGACTACAAATGGTGGGTGTGCAGGAAAAGGGGAGACATGAGAAGTGAAGCTAAATCCCTTGTTTGTAAAAAAAAAAAAAAAAACTAACTTTCTTACCAAACAATAGTCGAAATACCAGCAATCCAACAAAATAGCGGACAAAGAATTGTCGGAGGCCAGTTAATAGGTCATTCAAGGGTGAAGGGTTAGCTGTGGGTTTAATCTGTCCCACCACGTCTCTCCCCTGGGAGAACGCTGGCCTGTAGTTGGAAATGCATCCGCACATATTCTAACCAGCCTGGTCCAAGGTCCCAGTTCCAAAAGAAGAGCTCACAAAAAGAAATGAGAGTTTGCAGAACTTAATAAATATATGAGGTTCGGTGGTAGCATTCTCACCTTCAGAGCGGGAGACCCAGGTTTGATTCCTGGCCAACGCAACTCATGTGCATCTGTCAGCGGAAGGGTTCGTGTGACTCGGACGCTGAGCAGGTCTCAGCGGAGCTTCCAGATTAAGACAGATTAGGAAGAATGACGTTGTGGTCTACTTGCCAAAATCAGCCACTGAAAACCCTATGAATCACTACGTCCAGGTTCACAAGGCCTGATGAGTAGGGCGCAGGATTAGGCAGCGTTTTGTTCCATTGTGCACGGGGTCATCATGGGGGAGGGGGCATGAGGTCGCCATGAATTGGGGGGCTGACTTCTTGCGGGCATGTGTTTTATAGGGGCGATTCCTTGAGCCCATTCCAGGACGTCGGCCCATCCCCAGCTTCTCTTTTCCATTCGCTCTTTGAAAACTGTAACCCAATGATACCCTAGCGGGTCACACCACGCAGGGCAACTAGAAGTGAAGCCACAGAGCGAGAGGACTACAGCTCCCAGTAGGCCCCGCGCCACCCAGCTACGTATTCCCAGGGGGCCGTGGGAGGAGTCCCGTGCAAAGGGCGGGGCGTTCCCGACGTGCCCCGCGGTGCGCCTCAACCGCCGGGTTTGAATTGCGGCGTCGGCGGAATGGGTGCTCCGTTGTTGCCCCGGGCCTGGCAGCTGTATCTCAAGGACCACCGCATCTCTACGTTCAAGAACTGGCCCTTCTTAGAGGGCTGCTCTTGCACCCCGGAGCGGGTGAGACTGCCTGGCCCCTCGGGGCGCCCTCCCGGAAACCCCAGCCCCGCCCCGTCCCCCAATCACTCCCTGGACACTTTGAACCCCCCCAACCCCGCCCCGGACCTCTAGATACTGTGGACCCCCAGCTCCGTCCTGGACTCCAGGCCGGCCCCGTACCCCTAGACACCTTGTGGACCCCCAGCTCCGTCCTGGATCCCCAGGCAGGCCCCGAACCTCCAGACACTATGTGAACCCCTAGACCGGCCTAGAGTCCCCAGCCCATCCCCTACCCCAAAGCCCCTTGGTGTCCATTCATCCCCTCTCCCTTGCAGATGGCCGAGGCTGGCTTCATCCACTGCCCCACTGAGAACGAGCCTGACCTGGCCCAGTGTTTCTTCTGCTTCAAGGAGCTGGAAGGCTGGGAGCCGGATGATGACCCCATGTAAGTGCCCAGGAGGGGCTCCGTCAAAGCTTTGTTCTGAACTGGGCTCGGGGACTGAACTGAGGAAGCGGAGCCTTCTAAACTGATTTTGTGCCTTTCAATTCATAAGCGGGAGTGGGACTTCAAAGTTCATCGGAAATGAAAGGTAATTACATTTTTGAGTGGATAATTCTCTGCCTGCTGGTGCCTAGGTGACACAAATCAGTGTCCTTCAGGGTGGATGGAAGGCTCTCGATACCTGGCAGGTTCACCATGATGTGGGGACAGATCCTGCTCTTGTGAGCATCTAGCCATACCCAAGTGCCATAAAGCGTGTCCTCTTGAAGACTGTGGTTTTGAATTTGACTTGTCAAGAAACCATGAACCATGGGGGGAAGAATTCTGTGTATTTACTCAGGTGGGTTACAGTCGCCTGTCTTTTGGAAATGGGATGTTTTTTTCCTGCTGGAATCAAACAATTCCACAACTTAAATTTTTTTTTTCTTCCAGAGAATCAGCTGAGTTGTTTATCTTGGCCAGAAGAGTGTTTTTTTTTCCTCTAATGCGTTTTCTGTTATGATTCAGTATTGACGGGGGTGCCATGGACTGAGGGAAGAGAATAGTGATCGCATTAGTCTTGGAAGTGAATGTCAGAAGTGTTATGTTTTCAGATTATAGTTAGGACTAGCTGTTCTTTGGACTTTGTGTATATTTTCATTCGGATACATTTTTGTTGTTGTGAATTGAATGAAAGTTTACAGGACAGATCATCAGTTTTACATTCAACAAATCATACACCTTGGCTAATTACAATGATTATAATCCCCTCCATGTACCATCAGTTAATAGTATTTCTCTCTATTCATTTTAGATCTTTAAAAAAAAAAAAAAACAGCAACAAAAAACATTCAGGCATATATAATAAT